GTCCAGCCAAGTGGATACGCCACCCAAACCAGATCCGGCCGACAGATGCGCCGATCCTGCCCACAGGACCGAGTGATATGAGTCTAGAAATGCTTCTGGACACTTTGATCTCGGCACCATCCCAGGAAGTCAATCAGTTGCTTCGTCAGAGGCCCAGCCCAAGCACGAATTACAACCGCGACGCTGGACAGACAGGATCCGCAAGCCAATGAGGCCAATGCAAGTGAACCCCCGGCTTCGAAGCTACGTCAACAAACTTCAAGGGGGAGGTGTTAGGCAGGAATCCACGCGGATCCCACTATACCGCACGTCTTTAGGCGCTGCTACGGCCGAGAAGCCTGGCCCGCTCGAGGTTGGCCCAAAATTCGGGACGCTTGCCGGTCCGGCATCAAGACGAGATCTGATTGGTCAACAATCTGGACCCAACAGCCAATCATGACCCAGTATTGGCCAAATGCCGGTTGCCAATGGAGCTCCAGAACGCGTCAGAAATTCCAGAAAGTTATAGCCGCTTACCCTATATATACGAAGCGCTGTACAACTGTTCCTGATTTCGTTTTGGGCGTAGACAGACCTTTGTGCACCTTTGGTGTTTGTTTTGACGTGAACGCTAGCTTGGGAGGCTCAGACCGAGAACTAAGTTGAGGGAACAGTTACAACTGTTCCTGATTTCGTTTTGGGCGTTAATAGACCTTTGTGCACCTTTGGTGTTTGTTTTGACGTGAACGCTAGCTGGGAGGCTCAACTAAGTTGAGGGAAATTACAGTTACAACACATCGTGATAAGCAATACTCCTGGACATAAAGAAATTGATCTAAATCAACGTCATCATAATCGAAACCAGTGTTCAATACTGGTGCTTCACTGTCATACAACCACAAAGATGAGCGATCTATTAAGGGGTGGAAAGGATGGGTGGGAACTTAGTGCAGCCTTGCGTAGTGAAGCATCAGTGTTGAACACTGATGTCATGCTGTCGATGATGATGATGATGATGATGCAGCCTTATGCCCATATGGAACTCGATCAGAAGCACGGCGTCTACACCCTAATCATCATATCGAAGATCCCATCAGTGATACTGACGCAGGTCCTTTGCGAATTTCGCGCAACTTGAGCCCAACATACAACCAGAGACATAATTTAGTTAGGCATTCCGACTAAGAAATTAAAGTATGAATATCTCCCGGACAGGTTACGTTCCATGTCCTGTGGGATTTCTAATCAATCTATGGAGAATCACGTCGGCCCCAGTCAAAAAGGCGGGGGGAATCTCATAGTGTTCACTCTGACAGTAGCGGCATTTCTTTCGCGTTGTCAGGTCACGATCTGTCCCACGGAGATAGCTCAGTGGTTAAGGCGCCAGTTCATGGAACGAAAGGTCCGTGGTTCGAACCCAACATCAGCATCTCGATTGCTCCTATCTAGGAGTGGGCAACCTAGCTTATCCCAGCCCTCCAACCTCCTTCTATTGGCATGGCAGCTGGGCGCAGAAAGGGAGCTAGAGCTGAACAGTTATCTTTTGTTCCTCATATTACAAAAAACTGTTCTGACCTCGTCGTTATTGGATACGGATAAATCTACCAGTTCGACCCAGGCGGTTCTCAAACGATTGGCTTCGACTCCTCGGTGATTAACTATGAATCTCTAAATATCTGAACGTTCATACCAAATTAATGGTGCGCTGGCACCACAAGCTAATAATCGAACTCATGATATACATTAACCCCCAACGAGCTACTCCTTTCGGAGTCGCTCACTTCATTGCCTTCTGGTGGGTGTTGCAATTTAGGGGAATCTCATGGAATTACATTTAAGTTGCACCTTCAAAACGTCCTCTCCACGGGTCAGGCGAATCGCTGAATAGTGGTTTCAGCAATAAACGATGGTACCTGTTACAACTGAACAATATCACATGTCTCTTATTCGGTCAATCACTATCCTGAAAGCAACA